GGGCGCGCGTCCGAGAGCAGGCCGAAGGGCTCAGCCGGCGGAAGCCGGTGATCTGCGCGCCGTTCCGTCCTCCCTTGCGCCTCTGGGCCGCGTGCGTCGAGTTGCCAAGGACACCGCGGCGGTCCAGATGCAGGCCCTTTGTGTGTTTCCCGAGGGGGCGCACCTGTCTGCCACCTTCCCCCCGGGCCTGCTAGCCGGGCGTTTCCACCAGGGTGGCTTTAACGGCTTACGCAGAAAATAAAGCTAATTGTCCAAGACTATTGAAAGCGGCGCCGTGAGGACGACACACGCTGACCGTAAATCAACCAAAGCAAGCGTAGGCTGCCGCTGATTCCGATCAGAAATGAGGGTCCTGCTCCCGCACAGAGGCTATAGACTTTTTTTTCACCCTGTCCCTGCGGCTGCTTATCACCACACAAAGCGATGCCACTGTAGGAGAAATTAGAATTTGTCTTCCCTTCTTTAGGAAAAAAAAAATTTCATCCTGTAATTGTTGAATGAAGAGATTCCCCTGCCACGGGGATTCAAAGGGGCCGAGGGTTCAGGCTCAACTTCCTACCCTCCGGAGTTGCATGATAGGAAAATGGCCAAGTCAAATTTGGGGCTTTAGAACGTGATAATTATCTGACATATTCTGGGACACCGGAATTTTAATTTGCTAAAATACTACTGCATCTGGTGTCCTTATTTAAATACGTGATTAATCAGAAACACTACTCCAGTCTTCAGGCCACGGTGGAGGAGAAAGAAGTGGGGGTTTGCCATAGGTTTAGGCTTAGTCAGATTCTTTCAAATAGAGGCAAGGCAGGCCAGATGGTAAGAATCCAGCATAAATTACTGAAAACTGTTAGACGCTGTTTTCTGTACTGTTATTTTCAGCGCAAGCAATTAGTCACATTTTCACTTTCTTTGAAGCATCTAAATTTAATTTCTTTAAATATTCTATCTTGAATTGTACCGTTTTAAAAGAATAAATGATCATCTTTGTGACCTAAAATTTCCTTGTCCAATATTAATTTTTTTTACATCTTGTAGAGAGGAAACACAAGAAAAATCAAATTTCAGGTTAAACCTGTGGCTAATTCTTTTTAATATATTTACATTGTATATATTCATTCTGCTTTAAAAAAAATTGTGGGACATTAGTACTACTTATAACATGGCTTGCCTTTTAGACCTACAAAAAAATTCAGTCTACAACTAGAGACCTAATAAAGTATGATAAGAGTGCTTAGTTCAGCGATAGAGTGCTTGCCTTTTGTGCATGAAGTCCTGGGTTTGGTCTCCACCACCAAATTGTAATAAAGTAAACATCAATTTTTTTTTTTTTTTTTTAGTACCTTGAGCTAAATCCCGGACCGAAAACATCGATCTTCTCAACAATCAACTTCCTGGTATGCCAAAAGAAATCTAGGCCTTTCCTAACATTTACTATTCCTAAACTAAGAATTTCTGAATTTAATCTCAGGGCCGGGGATTTAGCTCAGCGGTTTGGTGCTGCCTTGCAAGCACAAGGACCTGAGTTCAATCCCCGGTACCAAAAAAAAAGAAATTACTGAATTTAATCACAAGTTCATTGTGTATGTATAAGAAAGCTGTGTACAGTATTAATCACGCTAAACTTGCATTGCTCAGTATCTTGCAGATATAATAAAAACTTGTTTATTTCCAGGATCTTTACATTGCAAAATTCATCAGGTCTGTTTTATAATTGAAATGTTGAAGATGACATTGCATTATTGTTTAGAAAATGATTCAGATAAAAAGCTTTGCCCAATTTTTGCACAATAATTTTATTTCTGAGTGAGTGATAGTTTTTAAGCATATTCATTTAAATGTACTTACTTTTTTTTTGGTACTGGGATCAAACTTGGGACCTTGTGCTTGCAAGGCAGGTGGCAGCACTATGAGCTAAATCCCCAGCCCTCACACCTACATATTTTTAAATGAAGTAATATCACCATCTTTTTAAAGCCCCAGAATCTCTCTGAAAAACATATGCATCTTTCATTCTACATCTTTAATTTCCATCATAAATATTCACTGATAAGAGCATGGTCAAAATAATAATGGATATGATCATTAATTTTAATATTCTAGTAAAGAGCTAAGTATTAGGGCCTACTTTCAATGTATTTTTTAAATAAATCATTAACTACCAAGAACATAAAAGCCCTCTATCAAAATTCATTGACATTGTTATAAAAATGTGATTTATCAGAATAAAGCAACACATTTCTGATCTTTTCTACCATAGATATGGTGGCATTTATGTTCACTCTGCTGAATGAATACACAGCAGCCTCACTCTACAGTAGCTGTTTCTAGTTCCAAAATTAGAAGGATGCATCTGTCATATCTGACCCCAGCCTGCATAAGGAAATCTTTTAGGTATTTTGAGACCTCATCCAAGACATACCCTCTGTACACCAACTCCTGAAATATAGCTCACCGTTCAGGCAACCTTAGAGAATCCTATGTCTTTAAACTGGACCCAAATTTACCGAAACTCCCTTATTGTCAAAGAATCTTGAGTTGTTAACATCAACTTTTGAAATGTTTCAAGAAGCCAAACCACATCAGGTTGACAGTGTTCATTCTGAGGGCACCCATCTGTGTCCAGCTGAAGTGAGGACCTCCTCAAACAATTATCATTCTCGTCAAATACAACCTGAAAGGGTCAATGCTTCTGAGGCCCTGATGAAATCACTAAAATTAAGCTTATGGAAATGTATCAACCAACTTTCCTTTTCTTTTGCGCATTAATACCTCAAGTTAGTTGTTTGCTCTGACAAACTTGGGTTAATAACTGAAGTCGATGGGATGAGTGATTTTTTTTTCTCTTCTTTTTTATTGCTGGGGTTTTGACCCTAGGGCCTTGCTCATGCTAAATATACACTCTATCACTGAGCTATATCTTCAGCCCAGGAAGTTTTTTAAATGGTTTTGTCTTTTGAAATGAGAGGTTTAGCTTATATGGAAGTTTGGGGATTTTTTTTTTTCCTGCAATATAAGACTAGGTATGGTGGTGGGCAGCCTCTAATATGGCCCATGTTCACACACACTGATACTTACTCTACACTTTTGTGCAATGGCTCCCACTTTGTGCCAAGGTTAGTCTGCATGACCAAAAGTGATGATATGTCTTCTGAGATTAGATTACAAGAGACACTTTTGGCACTTTTGTTAGAGTTTATACCCCATTTCCCCTGGATCGCTCAGTCTGGTGCCAGCTGCCTGTTACAGGGAGGTTTCCTTAGTTAAAGAACTAGAGCCTCCTTCCACAGATCTGTGCATCTGTTTTTAGGTGAATCCTCCAATCCAGCCAAGCTTTCAGATGACTATAGCCCTGGCCAAAACCTCGTCTCATAGGAAACCATCCAGCTAGGCTCTGAAATTTTTAAGAGCTCAAACTATTTGAGATAACTTTTTTTTTTTTTTTCAGTTTTCTTTGCTAGAGATCACATAGTATGTAACTGAACTACATCCCCAGCCCAATAAAAATATTTTATACAGGGCTGGGGATGTAGCTCAGTGGTTCTTCTGCTTGCCTCGAAAATACAAGATCCTGAGTTCAATCCCTGGTACAAAAAAAAAGTTTTATGCTTCTAGGTTTTGGAGTAATTTGTCACACAGCCATAGTTAAGTAATATAATATTCCTTGTTGGTCGTTGCTAAGTAGAGACAGAATGAATGCATTTCAATAATTCATGAAAATAATTGCTATTTTAATATCATTTGTTGCTGTCTGACTTCTAAACAAAAGAAAGTAAGATATTTTACCCAAAAGTCAAACGAGCCTGTAAGTGAAATTTTTAAAAAATGTTTAATTTACAAAATCTTTTACAAAAATAGAATAACCTAAGAATGCTTGGACTGTATTGCTGTGTAACACTTTTATTTTCTATTAAAATTCAGTTAAATCCTACCAAAAAAATTATTTTATGGAAAAGGATCTGTTTTGGATCCTATGTACTAGAAACTTCTGTTATCCTCTACTTCCATTTTATCTCCCTTGAGTACCAGCATAGCTTTGGATTATATTTCCCTACCACCTTGGAACCAATGTGACTATCTGAATATGTTTAGTCCAGTGATATGAAAGAAAAATTGATGAATTTAACTTCTAGCAAATCTCCTTAAAGATACAGCCTCATACCCTCTACTCCTTTCTGCTTCTCATGAACTGCTTTGAAAACAAGATTAAACCTAAGTAGTCAATTTTGATCATGGAAAGACCACAGTGTAAGAGATAATAGAGCAAGGAAAAGTACAGAACCAAGGTCCCTAAATATCTTGGGGCCTGCCCGCCTTGGACCATTCACCTCTAACTGTCTATAAGAGTAATTTATTAGCCATTTTTGCCATTGTTATAGCTACTTAGTCTATGTATTCTACCACATTTTCCTCCGTTATTTTTTTAAATTTAATTCGTTGGTACATTCTAGGTAAACAGTACAGTTACATTCATTACTGGGATCTTGTACCTTTACATGCCAGGTCTTGGTTCTCATTTTTCCCCTTGTCCCTACCCTCCCTTCCCCTCCCCCCCTTCAAACACTTTAATTCCATTTTTACATTTTCTCATATTTTTTTCCCTTTTCCCTTATTCCCCCTTCCCTATCCTTCTTACTGTCCCTACACCTTTGGTCCTTTTCTTCCTATTTGCTAATTGTCCCATTAGGATCTTGAGTACTATTTTAGTTTTTCACACCAGAGATACTATTCAGTATTTGCATATGTGTGCCTTATTTACTTCACTTAGAAGTATATCCTCAAAATGTACCCATTTAACTATGAATGAATCTACTTTCTCATTCTTTATAGCTGAGTAGTATTCCATTTTATAGAAAAACCACATCTTCTTTATCCAGTTTCCAATTGATGGGCAGATGGGCTTTTTCCAAATTTTAGCTATTACAAACTGTGCCACTATAAACATGGGTGCACGTATATCACTGTGGTATGATTCTTTCACTTCTTTTGGAAAGATACCCAACAGAGGGATGGCTGGGTCAAATGGAACCTCTAATCCTCTATTTCTTTGAGGCATCTCCATATTGACTTCCATAGTGGTTGCACCAGTCTGCTTGCTCCATTATTAAACAGATTATCATATTTGGGTACAAATAAACTTTATTTATAAGAGATCCTTTCTCAGTTGAATAGAATGTATTTGTTTTCTGAAAAGTTGGGAAATTGCAGAAGACTTAATTACAGAAATCCCAAGTGTCAGAGGACTTGGAAACATCAAGTTTTAACATCAAAATAAGTGTTTTTTTTTTTTCCACTTACTTTCTCTATCACTAATCCATTATCCTTCAGTTCTACTTTTGATAGTGTGAACCACCTCATTTGGAAACTCTTCCTTTACCATTGTGGGAGTAACCATCTGAATATCTTGATTATATCTTTGCAGATTCCTTTCCTTTCCCACCCCTACCCCTATCACCTAGATGAGGAGCTTTCCCTTAGGGCTCAAGCTTTATTTAGCTCTGTCCTCCATTCCAAGCTTATCTCTCTATGCTAAGCATTTCCACCAAAGTGCTTTTGGGGGGAGGTGCAACACTGGGGGTTGAACCAAGGCCTCATACATATTAAGCAATTGGTCAACCATTGAGCTACATTCCCAGCCCATAAAGTACATTCCTAAAAACAAATTCATCTTCCTGTTAAAACATTACTGACTGTGGGGGAAGGGGGCATGCCTCTAATCCCAGCACTCAGAGGTTGAGGCAGGAGATTGCTGCAAGTTTGAGGTCAGCCTGAACTACACAGGAGACCCTGTCTCAAAAACAAAAAGATATTACTGACAAGGGCTATAACACCAATCACGGGGCTTACATAGAAGGTAGTGTGCCAGGTGTGGTGGCATACACCTGAAACCCCAGCAGTTTGGCAGGCTGAGGCAGGATATCCAGTTCAAGCCCAGCGTGGTCAATATGATGGGATCCTGCCTCAAATATGAAGGGGCGTGAGGGGTGGGGTGGGGAAGTAGCTTGGTGAAAAAGCCCTGGGTTCACACTGGGGAGTTGAAGGGAGACATACCTATTGAATGACTTAATGATGATCATTTATTAGCGAAGATAGCTCTTAGTTTTGCTTGATAACCACCACTATCTGTGGAATAGGTGAGGGAAATTAAGGTGGTATTACAGTTAAAGTGATTAAAAGGAAAACCTCCCAGATGTGATAAGCACATGCTTGTAGTAACAGGTATTCCAGACACTGAGGCAGGAGAATCACAATTTTGATACCAGCCTAGGCACCCTAGTGATACTAAAGGCCGGTGGGGAGTGATGTAAGGGCTGCATCTGTTCTGTTTTGGGTAATTGGCTGGCAAGCACAGGCCTTGTGTTTCAACCCTGTTTCCAGGGAGTCCTCGGAGAAGCGC